ATCAATTTGCAGTATCTTATGTAGTAGTTTTGAACATACTGATACTGTCTTTCTTTTCCAGTTCTGCACAGTTGAAGCTAATGAAAACAGTTGGGGGAAATGAGAAAATTTCCAGTCCTCCCACTGTAGCTAATTATGCCAGTTGTGACAGAAGGGTACATTGGCTTGTTGTCTTGCAGCCAGAAGCCTTCAGAGTAGTCACTTAGAGAGTGCTGAGTGTGGCAGATGACTTAAACATATAAAAACTGAAGATTGAGTTGTGTCCTTCTTGGAATGGATGGTTTAAAACTGGTCTTAAACTTCTGCAGAAAGCTGAGTGAAAAGCTCTCGACTTTCTTTTAGCAGATATGAGAGTTACCTTCTTACTTCCAGCATTAGAAATGATACAAATGCGGAAGCTCTGTCTCTTTTGACACTCCTGAATGCGTTTGTTGACAGTGTTTTCAATACTATTATTTTGCTTTCCCAGTCCCCCTTCAGAGTCCAACTTCTTGGCCTGGAGTTTGCTTTGACATCTCTCTCGTTTTTCCATGCTGAAGGTGCTGATGCCACGATTCTAGTTTCTCTTTCCTCCTGCTTCTCTGCCTGTCTCTTCAGTGGGTTTCTGCAGTATATTCATTCATTGCTGTCCCAGTGTTTGTGTTCTGGGTCCCTGCAGCTCCCACTCTTTAATTACCTCACTTGGTCAGTCACCTTAAATGCTCTCTCCACGTCTACTTTTCTTAACCACTTAATGCCTTGTCTTTGGTAAGGTTTGGGCTGCAGTGTAGGGGTGTCTTGTGGATACTTGTTGCTCTTTAAATGGCAAGCAGTGATATTAAAAGTCATTTAAATAGCAGGCCAAGTTTTTTTTCTGACTTTCCTGTGCAATATCTGATGGCTTGTTTATATCAGACCTTCGTATTGAAACAGCCTTAGTTTTCAAAATAGCATTGAAAACCCTTTGCAGTTCCCATCAGACTTGACAATATTTGGAGTCTTTGTTTTTGAGTCATAACTGCTGGAATTGTGTGAATTTGATGTGCCTTTCCTTTAAAAGCTTCTCATTCTCGTATCAGTGTTCAAACTTTTATTTTGAATTCTGGAGCTAAAATCTGACAGCTGACATTCATTATTAATCTCCTAAAATGAAGCATGTAATGCTATGTGTAAGTACTGTTATATTCTGAATTTCAATCCATTCCTTGTTTCCTGTGCTTGAGTCTGATAACGTGACTGCAGGTGTTTTGCAAGGCAGCAGTCTTGTTATACTGTTCTTAGGTTAAAGCAGCATGTTTCCCTATCCCCTGAATGTTTGCAGGAAAGGGTTATTATATACTGCTGCCTCTGCATTTCTTAGCAGTAAAGAATATTCAGTAAACTATAACATCAGAAACCTCCTCAAGGCTCTTTGATCCAGAAAGTATCTGTGCTTGGCTGAGCTTCTGAGTAACGTGTCCTGCAAAGAAACCACTGCCCTCTTTCCTCGTCATAAGATTTGGGGGAGGTAGAAGAAATGGAGTTTAGCTGAACTTTCATTCTAGCAAAAAAAAAGTGTGAGCTCCTACCTCGGAATTTTTTTGGAAGGAGTATTTCTGTGGGCTGCGATGCTGGGATCTTTTAAACCGGCATTTTGTTTGCTTTGAGGTGTAGCAAATGCCAAAAATAAACAACCTTATAAGCCATTACTTTCAGACCTTGGCAAGCAGATAAACTGAGTGCTGGGATCCTGTTACGTGACAAAAAAGCTAGCAGGAGGAATAATGGGTAGCTGTTTCACTGCAACCTGATGATAGAGAGTCTGAAAAGGTCTGAACACTGCTCCATTTAGCCGTGAGGGCTCTATGAAATGTAGGACCTTTGCTTTCATTGTGGTAGCCCCATCAGATCTCTGCTCCAATTGCTTGTCCACTTATGCAATGGCTGTTGTTGTTGTAGTAGAATCGTGCTTTGAGATGATGTGTGTGCTGCAGCCTTACTGTACCAGCACTGAAATGTTTCAGGGACAAAACAAAATCCAGTGTTCCCTTTGGGAGAGGTGCATTTACGATCCTTTGGGATATTCTTGCCACAAAGAGCTGGTTTGTGCCACTGAGAGACTGAGAACAAGTATTTTCTTCTTTCAGTTGCCCTGGCATTTAGGAAATAATGTACATAATTCTGTGTCTGTTCTGAAAAGGCATTGTTGAAGGGCTCTGGAAAAAAAAATAGGCCATCAGGCTGGCTGTTTGCATTATCAGCCTGAATAACCGGAAGAATTGGATTACTTACATGACACTGAGGGAGCACTAAACTCTGTGTGGTGCTTGCCTTAGGGACAATTTGGGATTCTGCATGCAAATATTACCTGCTGGTCAGCTAAAACCTAAGATCAGCTAGAGTCTTAAACATGTCTTATAGGAAAATCTTAGTGCAGTTGTTCACTTGATGATTGGTCTCCTGTCTTTCATGGAGGTACACGAGAGTGTAGAGCCAAAGCCAGACTCACATCTCTAATAAACAAGGTTGGTGCACTTGCTGGGTGGCAGTTTTGGACAGGAGGCCTGGAGGGTTTTGTAGATGTGCTGGAGACAGGTTTGGCTCTCGCCTTTGCAGCTCATCCGTGTTGTGTCCTCTGTGTGTGTGTGTGTGTGAGCCTTCGCCCACCCCATGCTGGAGTTGAGTCCTTGCTGTTAAGTTGGGTGAATGACCCTGCAAGCCAATTTGACTGGAAGAGTGCTGGGAGAATGGATATATTGCATGCACTTAGCTAGTATGGCAACAGTGGATCAAATCTGTAGGCTTGCTGTATTGAGAAGGAAAGTAAGAGCATGCTCGATACAGTAGCCAGCTGTTGTCCCATTTCAGTGTGTGTCAATACTCATCTGGGCTGATTGTTTATTAGCACTTCTGGAGCTGTTTATGTCATGGTGTGGAAATGGAACCTGGGCCAGTGATTCCCTTCCCCCTCATATTGTCTTGCCAGGGAATTCAAGTTTGGTAGTGCTGCATGGATGGTCTGTTGTCCATTACTGCCCTGTCAGAAAGGTGAAATGCTTTGGGGTAATTGGTGTCACTGTAACTGGGTTATCCAGCCTGGGGTTTTGGTGCCTTCTGTTCCAGGTTGATCGGTATTGTTTGGATTTGAACGTAACTGGATGAGAAGTGCTGTTCACACTTGCCCAGGGAGGCTGGGAATATATAAGAAGCTATTGTAGAAGTCTTATTCACCATTTTTTCCTTAAGCATGATAGCAACCTATGACTTAGAAAAAATATAAATCTAATTTTATTGAGCATGTTTTTTTTTTTTCTTGAGTGCTCTGTAAGGTCATCTAGCTCCCTTAGGGGCTCAGATAAAAGCAGTGAGAAAAGCTGGAAAAGCTCAAAGCAGCATTGTTTCTAACACTGAACCAGGTTGGCTGCAGCTCTAGTTGGTCTTGAAAATCTCCAAGGATGGAGACTGCATAGCCTCAGACTGACCTGTTCCAGAGCTGCTCTGCTCTCCGGGCACACGTACCCCTAGCACAAGGAACAGGTTGTTTTGGAGAGAGAGGGGTCATGCCCTGGACTGCTGGTGAAATGGGCTGGGATGAGTCCCGTTCCCAAGGGAAGCACAGTGGAGCCCCTTCCCGGTGAGCTCTGTGTTAAAATTGCTTTGTGCCTCCTCTGCCTGAATACTTTTGCCACCTTAGTTACCTGTGGAACTTGTGTATCTGCTGAAAAGGTTTTGAGAATTAACTTGTGAGCTCAGCTAATGGTAGGCCCAAACTGTAAGGAAGAAGCTGTTGTGGAGGTGAGCTGTGACCCTTGGGTTTATCAGTAGAGTGTGACTTTGTGTGCTCTCTCCTTGCTGTAGCACAGCCTGAGATCATCCATCCACACTCCATTGTGAGTGGTTCGTGTTTGCCTTGTGCCCCGGGCTCCAAGGCACAAAGGAGCGCAACGAAATACAAGCAAGTTACAAGTTTCTGAAATAACAAAAGCTGCAATTAAGACTTCAATTGAACATGATAAGGGTGCCACACTGTCATGTGTCACTGTCGGGGTGAATGACACAGGGAAGTACAAAGCCATCTGAGAGAGGGTTGGAGATCTGTCTGGCACAGGGGAGGGAAGTCGGTGCAGCTGGCACAGTGTTAGTGCGTGGGCCAGGCTTGGGAGCAAATTGTCCTGCCTGCTTCGCTTGGGTTTTCTTGAGAGAAGTCCCTGCGTTGCTGCCAGGTTTTCCTGCTGGAGAGAGCTCCTCCTTTTGCTTGGGTGCTGGTGGGGGACTGGGGCTGGGAGTGAAACAAGAAGCTGCTTAAACACGATGTAGCTGCTGGTGTGGTATAAAGGGTCTCTACATAAAGCATAAGCTGAGTTACTGTAATGATTATTTGAGCAGTGGAGCTGCCGTGTCTTAGCTAAGTTATATTCCTTAGTGTCATTTAGGTGCTGCTTTGTTTCACTGTCTTTTATAGCATTTATCTTTTACTTGATGTACTTTCCTTTTCATGGGGGCCGCCATTTGATGGGGTTGATGTAGTACGGACCACAGTGGGAATCAGATTGCTGATTAGAACCTGTAGATACAGCAGTGAAAGAAATGGAACTTAGAGCAACACATTGTAATATTTTTCTTTGATGCTGTTTCAGTTTAGGGAATTGATATCTGGGAACTTGATCAGGCTCCATGACCTACACTTGGATACTTAGCCTGTTGTTTGTTGACTTATCCTATATGAGAGGCAGCTCTTCATCCTTTTTTGCCCTAATTTTCCTCAAGCTGGAAATGAGAGGGTGATACAATATTGTAGGTGTTTTAAATACCAGAGAGTTAATGCAGTGGTGGCTGGCACGTGCATCTTTAACATAAACGCATTGGCACAGCTGGTGAAGGGAGACATTTTCAGCCTCACTTGATCTGCAAACTTTGTGCCCCTCCAAGCCCTTAAGAAAAGAAGTTTTAATATGTAATTGAGCTGTGTAATTATGAATTTTACATTCCTGTCGATATGTGAAGGTAAATAATTAATTACAAATGTTGCTTTGTCGTTTCAGTACATCAACTGTGGTAACCTGGAACAGCTCTTAGACAGTAACCAGCATCTGCCCTGGACAGTGAGGGTGAAACTGGCTTATGACATTGCCATGGGGATCAGTTATCTTCACTATAAAGGCATTTTCCACCGAGACCTTACATCCAAGGTACCGTTTATAAGCTTAAGAGAACTTTTTGATGAAGGTACTGTAATTGTTTGTTGGGGTTTTTTCCTCCTCCTTTTGGCAGATAACTGTTGTTGTATAAGGTGTGATCTAAGGCATTTTGAGAAATAAATTGAAATACAATTTATAGAATTGAAACTTTCCTCAAAACATGTTCATGGTTTATATGGAACTGCAGAAATTACCATCCTGATGGAAGGTCACTCCTTAAATGAGTTCAGCTTTGGATTTCTCAGAAAGCAGCTGCAGAGTTTTTTGAGTTCCTAATTGTGGTTCAGTAAAGTATTTAAATCCCTGGATAATTAAGCGCAGCAATCTAACATTTGGAACAGGTTAATCATATAAAGAACCCAATTGAGAAGATTATTACAAACGCACTTTAAAATCTCCTTGTTGTTTTTGTTTCCCTGTGTGTTTCACAAATCTTCTGTAGGAAGAGTGACCTTTCATTACTAATTCTGCGTTAAATGTTTCTCTCGCTTTCAAAGTCAGTAAGATCAAAACAGTTTACCTAAAATTTTCAAATTTCAGAATTTCTTCCTAAATGGTATTTCAGCGGCAGAGTTTCCAATGGACAATGATTTATTTTTTTAATTGCCTTAGTGACAACTTGCATGAATTTATTTGGCTGAAGTAGCCAGCTAATTCAAACGCGGCTAGAAATACTGACAGAGGAGCACCAAGCTCTGTGAACAGATTGTCCCAGTATTCCCACTGGGTCTTAGCATGCACTGCAGCCTGTTGTGAGGGCTTTGCTGTCCTGTCTGTCCTGTTGTCTGGAGCTCATGAGCTGGTTTAAGCTCACTGGGGACCTGCAATATGAAAGAAGTTCTTGAGAAGACTTCATCATGCACTTCAGTCGAAAGCATCCAGAAGAATATTATCTGAGTCTAAAAGGAACTGTTTTTTAAGATTAGAAACAGCCTTTAAAAACCACAACACAATGTGTTTGCAAATGTGAGTGACTACTAATCCTCCATCTAGTTTTCTTTCCTTTTTTTTTAAAGTTACCTCAGTGCAGTGTTAAGCAGATGTGGAATGTGCATCTAGCCAAGGTGGGAAAAAAAAGTTGAACAGGTGATGAAAGAAGTATTTCAGTGAAGTCATAAAATACTTCCTTGGCTGTCCTTTCAAGTGAAAGGGGCTGAATTCTGCAGAGAAGAATGTCAAATTTATGAAAAATGCCCGTACTTGGAGTCATGTCACTTTGACATGGTATGCTCAGAAAGCACCAAATTTCAGTCACCTTGGAGTGTGCAGATAAGAGATGCATAAATGCATCTAATCTAAAGATGAATTTAATAATAATGGTGTTCCCCATTCTTTTTCAATTCAGGAGGTATTTTAGTCCATTTAAGAGTAGAGTTCCTGCAAGGAACCAAAGTACCTAAAGGAGAACTCTGTGCCTGCAGCCTTTCTCATAACACATACTGTGATGGTTAGTCATATGAAAATGCCATTTCCTGGGATCCCTGTGAATGCCTTTGTTCCCAGCTTTACATAACTGTATGCCATTCTCTGGAGCTGCCCTACCAGTGCTTCAGTGTTATCTATTGTTGAATGCCAATTGTTTGGAAAGTGCACCCGCTGGGAGGGGTTTGTGATGTCCCAGCAACAGCAAACTCATCGGAGGTTATTTAAAAACAAACGAACAACAAATCAAACCCCAAGGATTTGTTAGCAGTTATGCAGTATTTGGGTTGTTTTTAGCACTGAAGTTTATAGTGTCTCTGTGGGTCACATTGGAGGCTGTCAGCATAAAAGTCTAAGTCATCAGCTTAGAAATTTTCCAGTTCTTTCGGCGTTTTGGGTTGTTTTCTGTTTGTTTGTTTTTTAATTTTTTTTTAAATAGATGTATGTACTTTCCTTGTTCTGTTTGGGAAGGGAAGTAGATGAAACACTGGGCCTTCAACACCCACCTTAAACAACTTCTGAATTTAATTAGTGTATTATTATATTAATGAAATATATTTTAAAAATTAAATCTATTGGACAAATTACTCTCCTTTTGAATCTTAAAGAAGTCACTTTCTTCCAAAGCAAAAAAAATTAAGACAACCATAGGAAAAACCAGACACCAAAATTTTCAGTGCTCAGACTGTGGTTTTTGGCTACTGCTTGAGGATGTGCCTTGTCTTTTACCAGGTTTGTATTGGTTGGTAGGATGAGTCATCTTCATTCCTGCCAGTAAACAGTTGGTGTGTGAAAAAGCTGAAGGAAAATGTGATGGACTCTTTCCTTGGGAGAGGACTTCTGATCTGGATTGAACAAGGGCAGATTCCTTTTTTTTTCCCCCACCAGATCTCTAATTCCCGCAGCTTCCCAGAGCGGATGGTGTGATACATAAATTTTTCTGTGTCAGTTGTGGCAGCAGACTTGTCTTGCCCTTAGTGTTATGTGTGTCTGTGTATTTGCATAGCATTTTAAAGAAAAAGTTCCTGTCCCCTGCCAATCTGAGATCGAAAAATAAATGGGTTGGGCCATTAGTCTGCAGCAGGGTGATCTCTTTTCCTAATGGCACCATGTGGAGAGCAGCAGAGCAGCATTGATACTGCAGGAGGCCAGAGGGAAGAACGGTGGAGAAGAGTAGATGTAGGTCATCCTAGTCGATGCGACAGCCCACGGGGATGTCAGCCCTGACATCCCACGGGTGCCCTTCCCGATGCCCTTGTGTCAGAGAGGGAGGCAGTGCTGTGGGAAGAGCCTGTGCTGCCCAGACAGCCGGTGCTCACCCCTGTTGGGAGCAGCTCCGTGCCCGGGCTCTGGAGCTGATCAGGCTCATCTGCCCTGCTCGGTAGCGACAGCCTGGCTTGAATCTGTCAGGAAGCACAAGTGGTCAGACTGGCCTTTTCCAGCCAAGAAATGTGCTGTCCACGCTTCTGACTTGTCATAAAAAGGTTTACGCAGAGATTAAGCCATAGATGGGTTCTGACAGCCTGCCTCGTGGGCTCATTCCCTGTCCATGTCACTGCAAACCCTGGGAATTGTTTGTTATTTGAGGCTCATTGAAGGTGCAGAAGGAGGATTTGCATCCTGGAATCATGAAGATTTTCTTCATCTTCCAGTGATTGTCAAGAAGGTCTGGTTAGGAATTTTAACTCTGAAAGTCTTAGTCACAGAAAGTGCAGTCATTAAAACAGAATACTGTGAGACATTGAAAGTGTTTCAGGAGAAGCCACTGAATTGTGATAGAGTTTTTTCTTCATCTGACTTGGTTTTGCAACATTCTGGCTGTTGTAACCTACAACTAAAATAGCAGTGTTTGGGACAGTGCAGGGAAGAAGTGTCCAGCCTGCAAAAAGAACATGGCAATCTTTTTGTACCTCACCCCTCAAAACAAATATCCTACTACTGCACAATGAGTTTCTTCAGCACCTTGTTTACACTGTGTTTGCACTGCATTCAAACCCTGCTCTGAAAGCACTGTTGATTTCCTTGGCAGCTCACACCAGTGACTGCCCTAATACCACTGACCTTATTCTTACCTCTGAGATGAGGGAGATGAGTAAACTCAGCCTTATTATGACAGATTAAATCAAGAATATTGGTGAATGTTGTGTATGTGTTTTAAGACTTTTGTCTCTTGTTTGGGGTATTTGGCATTTTACATGTTTAAGTTCAAAGCAATGTGCTCACTGACCTCAGAGACAGTTGGAAGCATTAGAGCACTTATAAAATAGTCAGGTTTGACCCCTGGAGGCAGAGAATGTTACTAATCCTGTGTGTCCTCTGAAAGATTTTGTTAAAGTAGCTTTCTTGTCACAGACTCCTCCTGTGGCTGAGGAAGGCCAGAGTCCAGATCCTGGGGCAACACTGCAATAGTCTTAACCACAAGACAGAAGAGCTTCATTTGCAGCCCAGGCTCTTTTTATTCATCTCTTCCCAGCCTTTCTGTCACCCTGCTGTTTATGTGGGAAGAGTGGCCAGAGTCCTGAAAATAGTGGTCCAAGTGTTTTATGTACAGTCCCAATTTACCATCAGCGTGAATCCACTGTGTGCACTAAAACACATGGATGCCAGGTGGAAAACTGTGTGATCGAGTAACTCAGGGTGTTACCTTAATGTGTATGCATAAGGGGAAGAAGGAAAGCTGTTACAGGAAGTTTTATATCCCATCTTTTGTGCAATATTATTTTTTTTGATCCAGAATTTTTGTATGCAACTTCCTACCAATTTTAGAAACAATGGGAAAAAAACGACACGATGCACTTTACCTTAGGATTGGAAACCATGAGTTTCATGGTGAAGGTGTTTGTTGCTTCATGAAGTAACATGAAGTATTTTTAATTTGTATTTCTTGCTACTGTTAATTAATATTACTAAAACACACTGCATGTTTTTGCTGTTGAGGAGGAATAGAGAGAGGGATGAGAGAGACTCCCTGGCAGTGAGAAGTGAATATCTTGGAGTCTGCCTGTTTTTCCAAGGCTGATCATACCTACATACATCATTGGGTTACTACCCAATCCTTTCTCCTAGTGTGCAATGCCAGCCTCTGGTTAGGCTTTTCATCCTTCTTCACAGGCTTTGTCTCTTCTTTTTACTCCCAGTTCCAGACCTTATCAGTCAATCTCCTTATCTGAGGCTGACTGCATTTACCCTCTTCCTATTGCTGCCCCTTGATGCTTTATCCAGGCAATCCTTCTGTCTTCTGGTCTTTAGTTTGTTGAGCCATTTCTAGCTCTCCCCGTGTTCTGCTGCTCCAGGTTAGCTCATCCCTGCCACCACCACCTGTTTGCTGTACTTGCAGTTCTTAAGTCCTTGTGATGGTATTTGGGGTTTTTCCTCGCTCAAGACCCTGCTCTTGGTCCCTGCCAGCCCCTGTCTTGTCCCCTCAGTCACTCTCAAATTCCTCATGCAGGATATGCCTGTCCCAGTCTACTCCTTGCAGCAGTGGCAAAAGATGCATCTTACACAGAGGTCTCATCGTGTTTCAAGTTGAGAACATGCCAAATTTGATACGATACCTCAGCCTAATATTCTGAGGATTTTTTATTTGCATTAGTTAAAAATTTGTTTGCAACACATATTCTGAGTTTGTTCTCCCAATCACCTGAGCTGTTGTAGCTGAACGCCCCTTCCCTAAAACCCCGCCAGCAAAGCTCTTGATCAAAAACAAACAGAAAACCCCCCAAACAAGTGCCTTTTAGTTTTGCAGAATTGTTTATAATTGAAAACAAGGTTTTATAAATCAGTAGTAGGCTGTGAGCAGTTTTAGGGGACATTGTGAGCTCCACTGATGATAAAAATCTATGAAGAAATTCTAATCTTTAGGCTCTTAGATACATACACACATATGAGTGTGTGTGTATTCCTGCCAACATCTGCTTTCACTTCTCAGTGTGTAATGGCTCAGCCTTGTGCCATTGAGAGAGGAGCAGCCTCAGTTTCTACGGGACAGAATCCTTGCATGTAAGCAATTACTGTGGATTATCTGATGTAACATAAATTCACCGCCTTTGGGCTTGCAGGTGACATGCCCTGACTTCCTACCTTGTGCTCTGTTTGCTTCTTTAACACAAGATGAACCCCGAGCAGTGAACAGCACCTTTGTCTGATGAGTCTCGTACTTGGCTGCTGCAATTGCAGAGTCCCCTTTGTGCCGCACTAAGCTCTGGTGGGGATGTTTTGCACTGCAGGGGAGGGCTGGCACTGAACAAATTAGCTGTTACAGATGGTTATTTCTGATGATAGTTACAACAGCAAACTTTTACTGGCACTTTGGGAACCAAGTGGAGCCTGTCCCTTAAACACAATAGTTTCAGAAGTGTATCTAGTACTGTAAACTTCCTATTATGCATTTAATTGTCAGTGATGTTTTTCCTAGGGGGTAGCTATTTAAAAATAGCTGATACATCTCAATTGGCCTTCAAGTATTTTAATTCAGTAACAGTCATCAGAAGGTTGCAAATGACACTGCAGTAGCATTTCTGTATTTTCTGGAGTGCAGTAAAGTATCTGAGGAGTTCAGCTTGTATGTCATACCATGAAATAAAACTGTGGGGTTTCTTCATCTAAGCAATTTATTTTTAACTCTGCAACTCTTGAGTCTATTTTCATTTTTGTTTATGTAAAAGGGAGAGTAGAATATTGCATTTGTCTTAGTAGGATTATGCTGTGCAAAGCAGATGTTAAGCTCCTGTAACACACAAAGGGGGCTTTATGTTCTTTCACATCTGTCTGCATAAACAGCTCTGTTAACTCTTTAGGGCTCATGTACAGAGCTCCTTGCTCCTTTTAAGAGACTGCCTCAGGAAGGACTGATGGGGTTCCTATTTTGGAGGAAAAAAACCCCCACTCTTGAGAACCCAGCTGAAGTCAAATAGTGCCCTCTTAAACTGTGTGAACTGCCAGAGGAAAGAACATCCCTGTCTGTAGGAGTCCAAAGAGAAATCTTGAGAAGGTTGTCATGTTTTTTTTGCCTTGCAGCTTGTACAAATAGTACAATAGTAAGTCAAAAGTGTTTTTTCAAAGCCAGTGTTGTGAAGCTGCTTGGAGTTTCGTTTCATAGGCAGTTCTTGAGAGGCTCTTGCACTAGCAAGGGGTTTGAACTCTTGCATTTCTGTGCCAAAGTCCATTAATGAAACTTCTTCATACCACATTGACACATTGATATCCTTTTTTTTTTTTAAAAGAAACAGAGAAGTATCACTTTGTTAGAAGAAACAGTGCAGTGTGTACTATTGTACTTTTCCTGCTAAGAAACCACCCCTAGATTAAATTCAAAAGCTCTTTTTGACCACTTAATCTTCAATGAAGGTTTCTCTCTTTCTGATCCTGATTCACCTTGACGGTAGAATGTGAATTCCTGGAAATGTCTTTCATTGGGTGCACGTGAACTGCCAGTTACTGTGGGCCGTGTTCAGTCACCTATTTATGAATTGCATCTTAAATCTGGTAACTCAGTTGTCTGTGCTGGGAGTTCGGGGCAGTGTTGTGTAATGGCATCACTGGGGTGGAGGAGGAGCATGGTGGTGCTGAGAGTTAGCCTTGAATCTTGGAGAATCTCAGCACAGAGTGAAGCATCACTGTCCACACAACTTTGCCTTAGTAATACAGGCTGGAAAACTGACATGGGTTCTGGGAAACTGGTGCTTAGCTACATAAAAACTTGCCCCAGTTGAATTAAATCAGTTTAGTTTCACTACAGTGAGCATTTGTAGTGACACTGGGATTTTATTGTCTGGTGCATGTCACCTGCCTGTGGCTGATACCAGTATGAATAAAAAAAGTCACTCTTGTACTGGAAGACGCATCCTAATGGATTTAAATTCACACTCAGCACTTCTTCGAGTGCAAACAAAAGACAAGCTTCCACTAGTGAGAGAGAACAGCTTGGCTTCCTTATTTACATCACTTAACAGTTGTGCAGCCCACCCCAGCAGAACAACCGATCGATTCTTTGTAGCCCCAGTTGTTGCCCTGGGCTTTCCCCTGTGCCTTCTCCCGGTGCTGTGGCCTCTCCTGCAGGACCTGTGGGATGTCTGCACTGCTCGGCCTCTCCAAATGCTTGCACTGAAAGCGAGCCTGGCTTTGCTGCAGGCAAATACCTCTTACTGGGGAAGGAGCTCAGAGCTGTCAGGCAGCATTGGCTTAATTTATGATTTAGCTGGGAATAACCTACTTGCATAATGGTTCGGTGCTGTACCTGAGAGCTGAGACTGCCTGGGGCTTGTTGGGGGGTGGGATTGTTCATCTTCACTTGGTGATGTATCGCTGTCTAATGGGATGTGATTAGATACTGGCAAGAAGCTGAAGGAATATTTGCTGTCAGAGTGACGTTGAGTTTAAGTCTCCCTTTGGTATCAAAGCAGCCTTGTAAATTATCATAGATCTTTAGGTCAGTAGATAGGTTTCTGCAGATTTTTATTTGTGTTGAAAGTAGTTCTTTCAATTGTCTCGTTTTAAACGTTTCCCTGAAGTTTTGGAGACCTGAGGTTATTGGAGAATAACATTAATCCATAAAACCCAGAAGGTAAAATTAAGTATTGTGGTCTTGCTCCTAAAAACGAACAAAATGTAAATAGTCAAAGGTAATGCAGGAAGGAAATCTAGATTTCAAAACTAGTGTTTATGAATCATAGAAGTTTCTTCAGAAAAAATGTTTAATTAAGAATTATCTTTCATTGCTGAGAAATCTATGGCAGAAAAATAACCTGAAACTTTTCTGCGTAAAATAGTACCAACCTTCCTGAACACCACAAAGTCTCCGGTGTCCTCGTGGACCTGTTTCTGTGTGGTACACAACGACATTCCACTTGTCTGAATCATTTGAGTGAGATTTCTCAGAGAAGTTTTATCCTTCTCAGTTTTAAGTCCACTTAGAATGCCCAAATGTTTAAAGAGAGGCGAGTGCAATGAATGCCCCCTTTGATACAAGATAACAAAGGCCGCAACTGAGAAGCTTTGCTGCTCTTTGGGTAAGCGCAGTTGGTTTAACTTGGTACATGTTTATGAATCCCCAAGCTAACTGTGGTTGTTATACTTGAGTCATGCTAAACAAATAAAGCTTTTGCATCTCAGGAGCCTGGCATCGATTTTACGTGATCGCGGGAATGGCTTCCTCAACCTTTTAATTGGCAGGAGGGAAACTCACTTCGTGGCCCGAGCCACAATCGTCTCTGAATAATACAAACAGTGATGACCTGAACTTGATCTTTTAGACAAGGGACTCGCTTTTCTTGGGAGCTGCATTCTACAGCCAAGCTAATGCTCAGGGTCAGCGAGGGGCTTTTGTATATCCAAGCACAATAAAGGCAGAAAGTGTTTCCTGCTGTTCAGCTAATTAATGCAGGGTACCACTCGGTAGGAGTCGGCAGTGGTTTTGCTGCCTGTCACTGCTATTGTACTGCCTGCAGAACCAAGGCATGTGGGAAGGGAATGAATTTTGTCTTGTTCTACCTATTGCAGGACAGCAGAAAATGCAGGGGAGTCAGCTATCGATTCATTTGGTGAGAAGGGGAAAGGTGCGGTGCTGGAATGGTCAAAGCGTGTTTCTCAGAGTTGTAAATAAATAACAAAAAGAAATCGATAATACTCTGTGTATGATGTGCCAGCCCAGAATTATCTGTGTGTGTCCTTAAATTGCCCTCCATCCTGACACTGGAGGGCACATTTGAAAAGAAAAGACTGACAGCTTTTGCCTATTAGACATTTCCCTTTAATCATGTTTTCCAAATGCGCTGTAAAATAAAGAATTTTGAGAGTTTAAAGGAGCATATAACTTTGTCACATCTTACATTTTCTGATGAAAAGCTACTGGAAAGCAGTGAGTTCCTTTTCAGTAGCAAAATATACAAAGGCATTTAGAGTTTGCTCTCATCTTGTATTCTGGTCAGGTACAGGTAAATGGTGAAGAGAAAATTGAAAGTGTCATAGTGAACAGCGTGTATTGCATATTGTGGAGCATAAGGGAGCTAAATCATCTCAATTCTTGTTATTACCTAGCTGGGTATGTGCTGCCTGTGGCTGCCTGCTTCTCAGAAAGTTTTTAAGTGGATTATTAACTAAGTGGAAGGCTGTTTGCAGCATCTCGTTTGACAGACATGTGATTGTGCAGGGGAAGGGCAGGGGAAGAGGGTGGTTGCTCTCAAACAAAAGCTTCTCATGGACGAATGTGCTCCAAACTATACTTTCTAGTTACGTTCCAGATTAAAAACAGATAAAACAAATGTTATAGAGGTTTCGTACCCAGACAATAACTCTTCTGTTTGGTTTTATTTTGTTTTTTCCTTTTTCCAGAACTGCTTAATAAAACACGATGAGAATGGATACTCAGCAATAGTGGGAGACTTTGGTTTAGCAGAGAAAATTCCTGATCACAGGTACGTGAACTGATTGAAATGGGGAGAGAGTTGCAGTGTGACTGCAGGTCAGAAGCTCCAGTCAGAGCCAGATCCCTGAGGCTGTTGTTGAATTCTGATACAGAGTTTGCAAAAAATATCCTCAGTCTTCACTCTGGAACTGCAGGCTGGATGACCAAAATGTTCCAACCTTAATTGCTGTCCATTTTGATATTTAGAAGTGACATCTATTCTTCAAAAATGTTCCAATGACTAGATGATTTACGCAGGCTTTTCAGTTGATCTTTTTAACAGGTACTTGGGAAATCTGGGTTTTAAAAAACCCCACAAAAATACTGTCCAGCACTCTGGATTGGAATGATTTTGTAATAAATGTCATTTGTTGATTCTAAGCAACTTTAGCTTCTTTCCATTTTCATAAATAATATTCAGGGGCATTTTGGTACTCTCTTTAACATCTGGGTTAGTTGTCAAGATCCAGATTTATAACAGAGTAAAATTAATTATAAAATTACTGTAGTTCTCCATTTTACTTTTTCTAGGATGAAATCATAATCTTAACTCATTTGAGGAATGCACAGGTGACTGTCAAAGCTATTGTCACAATTGGAAATAGTCCTTTTGTCATCCCTCCTCCATTAGGGAGATCAAGGACAAGGATTTCGTTGTTCTCTCTATATATTAATTTGTGTATTTCGGAGTATTCTGACTGTGAAATATGCTGTCAGATTTTCTCCAGTGTATGCTTCTGAGTAAAATAAATAAAAGCCTTCCAGCACTTTTGACTGCAAGGAGAACAATAAAAGTTGATCTCAGCTCTGCACAGTTTTTAGACTGCACATATCCTGAAACCTTTAGATCTTGGGAGATCTAAAGGCTTGTGTTAATGTTGTTGAAATACTGATGTAAAAGCTCAACAAAGCCCTTATTTCCAAACTGCTGGTAAGTACAGCCAGTGGATCTTGTAGCTCCCCTGGGGCACCCTGTAAGGTGCTGAAAGCTGCAGCAGTATTCAAATGCACCCATCCCAAAATCAGGAAGGCACTACAGGTGCCTTAAGTTGTTCTTAATAACCACTTTTGAGATGCCCTGAAAGCTGAGAGTACAGCAATAGTTAGAGTAGCTGCTGAAATAAACAACTTGAGAGAATTGCTGCATTAGGCACCATTTTGGTTTGATCTGGTCTTACCTCCACTCTGAAAGGCAGCTTTGTTGTTCGCAGTTTGCTGATAGCAAGCCTTGCTATCTTGAAGCCTTCAGAGGCCTTTATTTTTTTTAATAGGTATTCTCTCAAGGTCAGCTGGGTGACAGCCTGGAGGTCTTTCTTTAAGGCCCCACTATTCAACCATATGGAAACAGCAGATTTTTCAAATTGGATCTATTCTGATTACTTTGAGGTTTTGCCTATTAAAGGATTCATTTGATCAGTCTTGATTTTTTTGTTTTAATTCAGTTTGCTAACAGGCTGTGCTGACTTCATTCAGAGTAGCTTATCAGTATACATGTTGGGATGGATACTTCTTTCTTCCCCCCCCCCCAAGTGGCCAAGCATTTAAAAACTAGAAATAAAATGTGAGTAATTGATTGGGAAAGTTAGTAGCCATGCTTGAGCATTTAATTAATAGTTCTTCCCTCTTTCCTTCCACTCCTCTCCCCCTATACCCCCATCTATCCCATATCTGTATAGTGAGAAGTTACCAGTGGTGGGTTCACCCTTCTGGATGGCACCAGAAGTTCTCAGAGATGAACCCTACAATGAAAAGGTAGGTACATGATATAAAAGTTGTCAGATGTTTCTCTTCACTAGCTGTATGCATGACTTAGAATTATAATAAATAATAATAATAAAACTATTGCTGTTTTCACTTGTGACATTTCTGTACTTAGACTAAGGGAGAGTGAGAGTTGAATAGCTAATATTTTTAATTCGTGGTGTGTAATCTTACATGGAAATAGAACTAGCTTTAGGATTGTTCTCTGTGATGCTATTTCTGTTCTGAAACTCCCCACATGCCAAAATATGGTAATGGTTTGTTGACCTAACACGATTTCATTTAACCAAGTCTCATGAGAAATGCAGTGAAGTTGCTTCCCATACTCTGGTGAAATCTGGGTAGAAGTAAAGCCTGTATGTAAACTTGCACACTTATGTGTGTGTATGTGTGTATACATATAAATCAGCATTTCTTTAGGTAAGATTCCTTGATAAAACAAAAATGCTCTCCAGTGATATTTGCAAGTTTTCCTATTTGTGTCATTGGGAAATGCTTCTTTCAGAGGAGGATCAGCTCACACTGGATTTTAGAAACAGTATTTTCAATCAAGCTCTTCTGTACACAAGATTTTCTCTCCAGTACTTTAGCCCTGCCAGTGTAGCCTTTCTGTGATAAACCCCCAACCTGTACCTCTTTCTAGCTAGTAGTCAATAATCTATTTAATTGGTGGTACTTTCAACTTACAGGAAAGCAGTAGCTACCTCAGTAATGAATATAATAATTACCATTTTAAAGCTTTTTAAAGAGTTACGATCGACCTAAATTAATAATAAAGTACCCAGATCTGTGGTGCCACATTCTTCACCAACCCTGGGGCATGAAGGACTAAAGAGGAAGCAGGTCTTACGCCCCAATCAGCATGAAAGGTGACACGTAAGCCTGGCTGATATGTAAGGGATGAGAGATGCAAGCTTCTGCTCCGTAGACTTGTGTTCCGTGTTTTCCTAAATTTTATTCATGAAAAACTCAGGTGGGTGGAAATCTGAGGAACTGTGCAGCTCCAGGGGTAGTCAGATAAATGATTACTGAGCGTCATGGAAATTGAGGCTGGTGTACAGTGCTGCTAAATACCTCAAGCTGTTTTCTCCAGAGGTACTGAACCCTGAGAAGAGAAAACTGTGATTCTTCTTAAAAACAGTATTAATGTTCTGGATAAGCTTTGATCATGTGTATTCTAAGCCCATTTTTCTAACCACAGTGATATACAGGCATGTCGTGTTTTTGGCTAATTATTCCCATCTGTAGGACATCAAATGCAACTTCACCATCCTTTATGCAAGGAAGGATTATTGTGTTGTTTTGTTTTGTTTTTTTACACTGCTGAATTAAGAGTGGTCTGGTGGGTTTTCTCTTTTATTCTTGAAAGAGTTTTAAAGTTATCACTGTTGTTTATGCAACAAGAAGGCTTTACTGTAAGCATGTGTTTCGTGACGTGGAAAAGGGTAGCTAATAGTGCAGTGGCTCTGTGTTGTAAGGCTGAGGGGCCAGTTTAGGTGTCCCCTGATAGCCATTTGGGGCGAGAAGAGACTCTGTGGCAGATAAGAACACCCACTGTTCATAACTGAACCACGTGTCTGTCAATTTTTTTTTTCTTCTCTCTCAGGCAGATGTGTTCTCCTACGGTATAATTCTGTGTGAGATCATAGCAAGAATACAGGCGGATCCAGACTATCTCCCTCGCACAGAGGTAAGTGTTGCATTTATAACCCTGGTGGGAGGTGCTGAGTCTGCCACGATAAAGGCCTGGCCTTTAGAACTTCTGGCACTGCTGCCAAAGATAGGATGAATAGGTGCTGCATTAAAAATAGCCTGGAAAAGGCTTTTGTTCTTCCACGCTGTTATTGTAGGAAGCTCCATTGAAGACGCTTTCCCAGAGACTCTGTGCAGCTGTGATCCTCATGGGAATTCTTTTCTGCCCCTCACTGGCAGAACACTGAGAGCACTGCAATGCCAGCTCTTCCTTTTGTGGAGTGATTCCTCGTGCAGACTTCTTGCCAGGTTCACTTTTGGCAGCTGCATCCTCTAAGCAGCCCCTCCTTGTGAAAGGGGCAGGACCTGGGTTAACAGCAGCTAAAATAAGCTCACTCTTATTTTTGCATAGACTCTCCTAAGCACTGTGGATCTGAGCTATAATTGACTAATCAAAGATACTTCTTGCTCTCTTCGATTGCCTTTTGGTTGAGTCACATCTGCAGGGCAGCTTTTGGCCCTCTGGGGGGGGCTCTTCCAAACTGTCTGTCCCCCTCTGGTTCTGAAAATGTGAAATTGCTTAGGTCTCAAACTGCAGTAAGTAAAATTCTTTTGCTCCTCTGGCCTTCATATTTTATAGGCATGCACGTAAGGTACTGGATAACTTGTATTACCAGTCTACCATCCACAGAAAAGTTAACCATTTTAACTGATACATTTTCATCATAGCAAAGTCTCTGGTTTTATAGCAGGCTGTTAATTTGCACGGTGAAAGTCACCACACTGAAACATCACAGTATAAGATATTGTTTCCAGATCCACACAGGCACCATTTCAACTGCAGTGGATTGCAGTTGAGTGCAGGAAGAGGGATGGGCTTTGAAGTCAGTCCATTCTTTTACAGGTATCCTGTATCAGTAATCCCACTGGGAATGCTGCAGTTCAGAGTGTGCATGAAGGTTTCTTAAAATTATCTACATGTGGTTGTTGAGTTGGTGTTCCTGGCTATTCCTGATAACTCCACGTAGGGTTCCCCTAAAAAGAAGATGCTTTGGGCCAGATAGCAGACCTCATTTATATCTCTGTGTTGTGTTTTTGTTTGTACAGAATTTTGGGTTAGATTATGATTCCTTCCAGCACATGGTGGGAGATTGTCCTCCTGACTTCCTGCAGCTGGCCTTCAACTGCTGTAACGTGAGTATCTTACTTGAAGGGGAGAGGCCTAAACTAGAGTCCTCTAAATCCCTCTGGCTTTTGAAGATAGAGCTTAAAGCACTTACAGAAGAGGCTTGAAGAGCCTACCTATAACAGCAGTGCCTTCTGATAACCCAGAAAGTCCCTTGGAGTTTTTATAATCCTTCCCTTCCCCTTGCAAAAAGGTGTATCTTGTGTTTTTGCAATTCTGTATTCTGTCATGCCAAACAAACAGAACTGAAGAGCTTCTTGCAGGCTGCTCAGGCTGCTCATAACCAGTTGGATGCTATTGGAACTGGGTAACCCTTGGGCTGACAAAATGCAGCTGTTATTGTGTACAGACCTACTGAGCTGTGAAGGAAGGATTCTGAGCTGCCCTCACAAACAGAGGGGACAAACAAACCAAGAGCAGGCGTTAAACTACTCTGGATACCTTCGTGGCTCCTCAGTGTGAAAATTCCAAGGAAGTAGATCTCTCTTGTTGGTTATTCCATAACAGAGTTTCTAGTGCCATTGTACAGTAAACTGGTTTATATGAAATAAGAGAACCTGAGCTACTGCCGGTTTCAGATGAAGTTGGGAACGTCCAGCTTGCACAATTTAAGTTGAGGCAACTTCTAAAAATTTTATTGCCCAAAACTTCACTGGGGACTCACAACCAGGCCATACTGGAACCAATACCAGCACTGTGTCCAAGTGTGAGTGCTTGTAAGAAAAGTCTCATCTCTTCATGCTCCTGATGCTTATTTTTGACCTGAGCTCTCTCTGCCTTGTATTAGTCCAAATGCACATGCTCCAGCAGAGCACGGTATAAAGGTGAGACTGGGGGCATGACTGCTGCTCTTGACACCAGAGAGCATAATTTAATTCTAAAAATGTTTGTGGAACTTCACAGTGGACAAGGTACTTCACTCCTCTGGTTTCACCTTCATCCAGCAGAGCTTGTTTCACCAGGACATTGGTATATCTGACTCATGTTTATGAAGTGTTTTGGTTACATGAGCACTAAAGGGTTTGGCTAAAGGTAGGATTTGACTTGGGAAATACCAGCTTTGACCTGTAGACTCCAGAAAAGGTACTGCATCCAAACACGTGGTGTGTGATTCAAAGCAATTTCCTAGCACAGAAACTCAGAGCAAAACTGCTCATGAAGGAAGAGGCAGTGACCTTATATTCTCATGTAAGAATTTGGTGTGGTCAGAGAAAAAGGATTTTCTCCTACTGATTATGGTCAAATGCTGCTTCTTGTGTAATAAATGTCCCTTCCCCGAATTGAAATGTAAATTACTCTCATGTGATCGAGCCATTAATATGCTGATTTCAGCATGGGCCATGCTGGAATTCACTGACCACTCACCTAGTAGAAGGAAAGAGGGAATAAACAGATAAGGCTTTCTTATGTTTTCCCAAGCATGCTGTGCTTCAGTAATAGGTGACTGGTGTGATAATTTGCTCTTAGACATGGACATTTATAAAGCTTTTTATTAGGTCAGCAAAATGTAAACTCTGTAGCCCAACTGATCAGCTGAACTAATGTGCAAAGCCCTGGGGTTTTCTACAGCCAGGAAATGTGTTTTAAGGCATGTAAGAAAACCAGTAAAAACTGACATGTATGAATAGTGGATTAAAATGTCTTTAATTTGTTGTTAAAAAGTGTGGGATTTTTTAAAATAAGTACCTTCAAGGTACTCCCCAACAACTATAAGCCTGTTTGTGTGAATACTTAATAAACATAATCATAAATGATCATGGAAAAAGCTTACCGTCACGAGCTGAGCTGTGGGCAACTGCTGCCTGGAGGAAGAATCTTTTATTCCATTTGAGCAGAATGTGGACTGCTCAGGGATGGAAGAGGCAAACGCTGCTCTGAGTAACTTTTCCATTGGTGCCTTTGTCCTGGATCCTACCTAGCATAAATTAAAATAGCCAGAGAGCCCCTTTTACTTCCTCTAACTTCCTGTAGCTTGCAACAGCTCCTTAAGCCTCCCAAATTAGTAAGTTTGTCAGAGTACAGCGTGTGCTTCAGCGTTGCCCCTGCCCTACTCTTTCAGTGAAACAGGGAAAGCAGAAAAATGTTTTCCAATGCCAGGAAATTCCAGCTGCTGCATTAGAACCACTTTCTTGCTTGCTCTCGAGCTCTTCAAGTGCGATCTGTCCGGTTGGGTTTTATTACCGTACGTGTGAGTTTTTAGCCCTTCACCCTGTGTTGCTGGAAGGTGTTCTGGCATTGCTGATCAGACCAGTTCTTTTCAGGAAGATCCATCTCGTAGGACCTGCAGGGCAGTACGAGGGAGGTCTGGGAGGTTTGTTGTGCACAAAAGCACTACTGTTCCCATTGCAGAGGTGAGATCTGTCTGGGCTTGCCCACTCTGAAAAAGCCCTTTAGAAGGCTGGAAACAGGAACCAGGTCAAGCAGAATATTTTGTTATTACTGTAATGAGGTAACTTTCAGCTGCTGAGTTAGATACTCACACCTACAGTAGTTAAACCTGTAACATGTGTACAGGGTCAATGTTCAAAATTATGAAATGCCTTCTAAATTACTATCTTAAATTAAACTCTTGGCCTGCAGTTCAGTTTTAGTGTTGGACTTTGTTTAGAGTTCCATTTCTGCTAGAGTGAATAATTAAATACATACTGAGAAATTCAAACTGATACAGGGGGAATATTTTACTTGAGGTTTTTTTTTTTTCTAATATATTACTTGGTCAAATTATGTAAACCAATTTTGCTTCCTTATAAGACAGACCAGTACATCAAGTGGTAAGGCTGATTAACAGATGGAAAGATGCATTTTCAGCAGTGCCATTTAGGTGGGTTTTAATTAAAGCCACAAGGAGGTGATGGAAGAATTACAAACTTTTAAAGAATGGCATAGCCATGCCGCTCTGTGTAATCCTTTTGAAGCAACATTGGTACATAATCTCCGTCTGATAACCAGAGTCCAGAAAGAAATCTTGAACTATTCAAGCTGTTCAAAACAAACAAAGCCCCATCACAAGCCATGAGTCTTGACAGATTCCCACCTTGTCACTTTAAAATTCATCCTCTGCCTGTAATGTTTACAACTTGATAATTAAATGTGAGAAGTATAATAGACAGAAATGCCACTTTGCGATGATAACACACTTAAAACAGTCTTGAATTTCCTTGGTTTCTTCAGATTGTCCCTCTGTCTATCCACTGTCTAAGCAGAATAGCATGGACAAACCCACGTGAACTTATTTGACTTGTGTGCATTCACAGATGGATCCAAAGTTGCGTCCTTCATTTGCTGATATTGTCAAAACACTGGAGGAAATGTTAAACCGCCTGAGAAATGAGGACTCGGAGAGAGAGAGAAAGTTCTTGAACCTTGACAACAGTGAGAGAAAACCAAAAGGTAAGTGTCTGTGTTGTACAAACATTGCTGCATGGTGACAGCAAGAGGGTGCAATGCTTCGTATTTCAAAACCTGGGATTTCAGCTATTTATGCAGTTATTTACACCTTATGAAAAATTTTATGTGAACCTTGAAAATGATTCTGGAGCAATGCTGTGTACTTTAGGCTGCAGAGTGTCCTTTGGGGAAAAAACAGCTGTTTCTTAAAGTGCCTCAAAAGATTTTGCCCACAAGCTCTTGAGGGGAAATTCAGAGTTTATTTGGGAATGGTTTTGTAAGTTGCTAACTATATGAAAATCCATCAACTTTTTATTTATCCCTGCCCTACTTAGTGCGTATACGTAATTCCTTTGGTGTATGTTACATGTAATGTTTAGAAGCTTCTTAAATTCCTTCAGGAGGAAGAGCACAGAAGATGCAAGATAATTAGAAAGTACCCAGAAATACTCTGAAAGATGGGAAAAGATGAATCCCAGGTCTGCTGGGGAATGTTGGCCTTGAGAGGTTTTCACTAAAGCTGTCTGGTGCCACCTGGTGTGGGGAGCAAACTCTGGTAGCCTGGGCCATAATCTGACTTGGGTGTCTCTTACGTTAGTGCACTTCTGGCTCTGGGAACTTGGAGTACAGTAAAAACAGTTTATCATGCTGTGTGTATATATAAATATACAACATATATACGTAGCCATCAATTTGTAATATGGTTTTAGACTGCAATAATTATTCTCTAATTCAAACCACATAGAGTTAATGCACGTGGTGGTTCTCCCACACCTGGAAAGCATCCAAAAGAGGTGTCACTTAAAAAAGGAAAATGTTTTTTGTTTGTTTAGATTTTTGGTTTGGTTTGTGTTGGGTTTTTCTTTTTTCATGTTTCTGGCATTCCCCCCTTGGAGTACATGCACAAAACAAGTACTTCTTGAAGAAGTGTTACATGCTGTTCTTTGACTTTTATACTCTTTCCTACATGGAATGACTGCAGTCTAAACTGTGGCAGTATTTAGAGGGGAGAGTGAAAATCCATACGTGCTTATTCTGGAAATGGTAATCAAAAGGAGATATCACTTCTTTATATTCATTTTTAGGGCTCTAACACAGCTCTTCAAAGGCACCTTGAGAGCCAGTGGCAGATGCATGTTCCAAACACTCAGAGTTAGCATCTACCATTTTCCCAACCTGTCCTAGTGATACAGCTTTATTTATATATATATATATATATATATATGTATGTATGTATGTATGTATGCGTGTGCAATACACATGCATATGGACAACTTTAAAACTCCTATTTATGAGGGTCGAACCCTCATATATCCCTAGTCTTGTGTTGGATAATGTACTGAATGAAGCCTGTGATGGACTTATTTAAAATCTGCATGGTACCGGGAGGGGCATTTATTTTGGTCTTAGACTTTTTTTCTGTCAGGGTGAAAAAGTCCCAGTTCCGTTGGCAACTCAGTTTTGTACTTGTTCACTTTGATGGCCAGTATCACCAACAGATCTTGGGCAACCTCTGCTGGAAGCCAGGACAATAAATCTAGAAGCGTGCTTATGGAAGATAGTTTGGAACATCAGAAATGCAACTTTTTTTCTTTACAGCTGTCAGGAAGGTTCTGTGAGTGAGCAGACATATAGCTCTGGAGAGCTTCTCTAAGCTAAGAGTGTTCCTCTTTTTCTACTCAGGATCAATTGAGAAAGGACCAGGAGTGAAACGTTTGAGTTCCTTGGATGACAAGATCCCACCCAAGTCACCCCGTCCACGTCGGAATATCTGGCTGTCGCGCAGCCAGTCGGATATCTTCTCCCGCAAGCCTTCCAGGAAGATAAACGTGCAGGACCCCTACTACACACCAAACAAAGGCTTAGGCCGGAAAGTGAATCCCTTCAGTGCCCGGGAGGACCTCAAAGGGGGGAAGATCAAATTCTTTGACATGCCAAGCAAGTCTGTGATTTCCCTCGTGTTTGACTTGTACTCTCCAGAGGCAGGCGGGGGGCTGAAAGCCAGCCAGTCCCACTTCCGGCAGGCGTACAGCGCAGACTGGCAGGAATTTTCCCTGCTTCCTGGGAGGAGATGCAGATCGCTCCCACTCTCTCCTGAATTGCCACACAAGGAATATGGCCTGTTTGGAGGACTGTCTTCAACCGTTGGCAGGTGTGACCCAGCCCAGCTTGGCGCGGAGGTTCGGCAAAAACTCCTGAGTAGCAGCAAATATGGTGTGTCAGAGATTCCCCCCTTCCACGCCAAGCCTCACAGACCAGAATTTCTTCTTGCACCAGGACAAGAAGAGGATATGGACTGTTCAGATGGGCCAGTGGCCCAGGAGGAAAATGGGTTTTGCCTTGTTGAGAACACGTGTGGAGCTCCAGCACATAACCAACCATTAGTGCTGGCCCAGCCTGAGCCTCTGTCTTACAAAAAGCTCCCAGCTGAGAATTCAGTGAACTCTGAGGGACATGGTTCCTCGCAAGGGTTTGCAGGTTGTCTCCCTTCTGAAGAGATGGAGGTGGAAGATGATCTACTGAAAATTACTCTTTTAGAGTCCACAAAGCCTCTGTTCAGTGTTAGTCCTTCCAACGAGCTGAAGAGAGAGGCGTGGCCCTTCAGGGAACAGGATGGGGACAGTCCTGCCCTGTTGCCTCAGACCTCCTCCAACATCTCAGCAAGTGGCAGCACAGAGTCAACTTGTGACATATGAAGAGAGGGCTCAAACCGAACATGTCCTTGAGAAAACAGTTGTTCCCAGTTGCTTAAACTCCGTTTTTCTCTAGTGCCGGGCCTCACATTTGAAAGAGACTCAGCAGATGGTGGGAGCTGCCTGTCAAACAGATTGCTGCAGACAGTGTCTGGACAGACTGATTATTTTATAAAACTTTATTTCAAACTGTGCTTATTCCCGTTCCTGATTTACATTAGGAGGGGGAACTACTCCAGCCAGAATGGCCATGTGAGCCCCACAGCCTTTCCAAGAGGCAGCAGCCAGAGCAGGCACCACGTAAACAGTTTGATCTGAATTTCCAGCATGAAGTATTTCAAGGCCTTAAGCTCCATGTAGAGTAGAAAGAATGACCCTTAGGTTTTCCCTCTTTCTCTGACTGACCAGCAGCTCTAAGCCACTGCAGATTTTTTTTCATTAACATTCTGCAGCAGTGCACGTGAGTCGGAGCCTCTGTTTTAGAAACAGGGACAGAGGTCTTTCAGAGCTCTGTTGAGCAGATAGGAATGCTCTCTGGTTCCAGAGCTGCTGTGAATGCTGTTGCAGCATTAAACAAGCTCTTCTTTCAAAAGCAGCAAAAACAAAACCCCTCATGCTGGTCACAATCTGCGGGCTGAGTCACATGACAAATACTTCGCAATTAACGAGAAGAATCTGTTCCCTGAGATTTGGTAATGGTGTTTAATGCATTAGTGCAGGGAAGCTTTCTTCCTTATCCCAGCTCTTCATGTACCTCAGCCCAAATGTGGAGGACGATTTGCCCAGGGCACAGAGAGCCATATTCCAGGCATTGTGATTTCTGGGCTTCTGAAGAAACTGCCCCTAAGAGTAACAGTTGTACTGAGCTCTTTTTTGGGGGGGATGGTTGGGTGTGCTCTTATCTCTGGAGAGCTGAATGAACATCATGATCTGTTTCTGCAGAATCTTTAAATAGAATAGCTGCATCACAACTGACTATTACCACTAAGCTAGCAGGGTCACATTCACCTCCCTCTCTGGTATGACATCCCATCTCACTGATTCCACTGCAGTAATGATGGCTCCTCACTTCAAACCAGCTGCTTGACAGAGGACAGTGATCCCCTGCTCAGGGCAAGTTGCCAGCAGTGCTGTGGCCACACAAGTGCTCTTAGAGAGGATGACTCACAGGAGGGCTTTGAATTGTCGAACTAAAGAAAATCAGCTTGTCCCAAATTAACTGGTTTTTCCCCTCTACGGAAAGAAGCTGCTGTCCTTTTTTGGCTTCTCCTATCACTGAATAGCATGATCTTTTTATTTTTTTGATATTTTTTTTGTTTTGTTTTTACTTCCCTTCACCAGCAGGTACATGTGAAAGAAGCAGCAACCTGAGCTTTAATGCTGCTCGCTGGACCCAGCATCGGTGATCCCCGCTCTGGGGCGCGATGCGCAGGGAAAGCTTGTTCTGTGACCACGTCTGTGCAACATCTTGCCCTTTTCCACTACCACCGTCCCAACAATATGGGGTTTTATTTTATGTTTTTTTTTTTTAACCTGTATTATCATTCCTAAGTGAGGTATGCATTGCATGCCTGCTGAGCAGATGGTGGTGCAGCGGAGTCCAGAATTTCATCCAGGTAGCCTGTTATACTCTCTCTCTCTTCCTGCTCTCTTGTAAGGATAGATAATGTAAGCTAGGCTCTGATGGAAGCCAGACTATTTCTACTCTTCTCCCATCTCAAAGACAGGATGGAGAAAGCCTTAGTTCTTTATCTTTCCAGAGGTGTAGGTAATTATTCCTTGAGTTACAATTATGACTCTCTTGTGAAGTGTGTGTTAACCTGAGCAGCAGTTCTCCCTTTGCAGTGGCTGCAACGAATCCAATGAGAAACCCGGTATTGCTGAGTTACTTAGCTCAGTCCATCCAGATTAGGCAGCTGTTGGCAGTTTGAAAATGCTTGTGCTCACTAAGATCACCCCTTTTGGCCCACACCTCTCTGCCTCTTGAAGGTGCTGATCTGTAGAGTAGTCTGGATTCTGTATCGTGTCTGCAGAGTGCAGACCAGCTTGTACAGCTGGCACTGTGTTTGTGTAACTTCCTTTGAGGACAGAGAAACAGCAGAATTCAATTGCCAGAGTTGCCTGCCTTATGCCTGCTTGCTTTTTCTTTTTTTCTTTTTTTTTTAATACTTTGATACAATTGTAATCTTCTGGGAGGGAAACCCTCAGCACCAGCTTCTGTCGTCACAAGATGCATTTAGGCGCGTGACTTCAGACAAAAAAAAAAAAAAAAAAGCAATAATGAGTAGTTTACTTTTGGATCACCAGGCTGAGGGAAGCTGCCCAGCATCCTAGAGCAGCCTGCAGCCTCATCAGAGAGCACACGCACACCTCTGGCTGCCCTGTGGCTCCCGGGAGCCCTGGCTGTCAGCTGACACCTCATCACGAAGCCTGTTGCCTTCTGTGGCACCCATTGCAGTGACCTCAGCCCTTCTCTTTACACCGTTCTTAGAGTGTTTGCCTGCCCTGAGCAGCTCTTACAAAGCAGCATGGCTAAAGGTTTATTTTCTTAAATGTCCGCTCTAAGCACAACCAGCTGACACGCACTGGGCACGTCTGTCGACTTTTCTGGCTCTTTGTACTGAGGTGGAGATATCAGAAAGGCCAAGAACTAGCAGCTGAGGCCTTTCCTGGATTCTTGGTCTGCACGGGAAGGGGCACGTGTACAAAACTGGAGTAAGAAGTAATTTTTAATAGCAGAGTTGGTTGCCGAAACCCAGCGTTTCCAAGGGTGTGGATGCGGTTGGAACTCGCAGCACCTCACCCCTTAGGTTGTGTAAAGCTGAATCTAGGTTGCACCTAGTAACTGCTCCTAGGTTTTCTGCCTACCTGGGGTTGCTTTTTGTCAAAGGGGGCCATTTTCTGACAGCTACTGATGAGCACGAATTTGAACGTGTGGTTGGCAGACTCCTTGTTTTACAGAGTTTTATTGCGATTGGATTTTACCGTGATTTTGACTCCACGGGGAGCCCGTTCTTGCTCTTCCCGACGAGATCAAAGGTGTTTTAAATTCACTTTAAATCTTCCTGTATTGAATTCGTTTAGATGTCTGTTATAAGCTATTTTTGTTGTGGTTGCAGGTTGATGAAAAGCAGCCCAGAGAATGCATCAGCCAGGGGGCTGCAGCAGACTCGTACTTGTTGGAGAGGCATTGATGTATTATGTGTAACAGAACATTGGTATTTTTTGCCAGTACAACTAAAGACACTTGAATAATTCCTGTTTGCACTTAATGCTATTGTGTATATTGCATGTCACTACATTTCTATGCAAAACAAATAACCTTTTGGGGTTTTTTTTGTTTGTTTGTTTGTTTGGATTTTTTTTTTCTTTTTTTTGGGGAGGAGGGGCAGCCAGATATTTGATTAAGTATAAAGACCTTTGCGAGATGATCTATTTTCGTATTTATGAAGGAGTTTTACGTCTTAATATTTTGCAGTCTGTAAATAGCTCAACTTGTAATTAAAGGCTTAGGAAGAGGTTTGTAGCCTGTGTATAATAGTAAGTTAACACTGCCAGAAAAAGAAATCTTTGCGAAACAACTTTTCTAATATTGCGGATATTTATGAATATGTAAAGAAAGCACGTCTTGTTTTTATGTTGATTGACCTTCTGACTTTTTTGAACTATAGAAATGGTGTATGTTTTATTGGAACTGCAATAAGAAGTAACCAAAGATGAATCCAGTTAAATATTTTCATAATTTTTTTCTTGGTCAGGTTTTGTAAACTTTCCCAACTTGCTTTCAAAATAAAAATGAAATCAAGGCCTGAGTCTTGTCATTAAGAGGACAATTCTAGGTTGAAAAAGCTGGCTTGAATGCTTACATAAGCTATGAATGCCATTAATACCTGGCTTGAAATTGTATTTGCTACTACTCAGTGGTGAATTATAAACAAGGAATCATCCTTAGTCAGTGTTATTTCTCACCTGCATCTTAATAGTATTTCACTATTAAATTAATGAGAAACAAGGGGTTTTATTTTTTTTTCCTGCTCTGGGTTTACAGTGCCCAGAAGAGCAGGCCACAGCTTTCGATAGCAGCCTGCAGGGAACTTGCCGTGGTGGCTGCTTTGTTCTAGCCCTAAACAGCTCCAGGAGCACAGGAAGCTGCGCACTTTCTCAGGACCACATCTGGCTTTCAGCCCCATTGCATCTCCCCTTGGCAGAGGTCTGAAGACCTGCTGTGGCTTGGTTCTGCAAGCTGTTAGCCTGCACTAGAATCAGCTGGTCCATCTGGGAGAAACTTTCTCCTTCCCCTCCCTCCTGTAGGAGAAAAGGTCTCATCTGGATGTGCTGTAACCAAAAGGTGCATTTGTCCTCCCCCTCCTTCAGCCTCACCCCTGCCTTCACATCCCAACATGCCGCTAAGGAACACAGGGGGAACTCCAACTGAGAGCCATTTAATAGGTCAGATCTTAAAACAGAAACAAGAATAAGAAACTTGTTCCCTTTCTGGCGATGGAATAAAGGACTTCAAAACCTGAAGGGAGAAAAAAAGCTCAGTTCAGTGAAGGAGTTTTGTAGCTCTATGCACTGTCCCAGGCCAACTTTATCTTCTCGCTGTGGGCTTTGGAAGATTTAGAAAACAAGCTCTTCACGATTTGCAGTGGCACCGCTTTCCCGCTGAGGTACAGTTTATTATGGCACTCTGGCAACCAGGGCCCTGCTCCAGTGTCTGTGTTTTTCCCTTGCTTGAGCATCCAGACGTAAGCCATGATATAGCCAGTCATGAAGGCATCAAAGCCAGCTCGGTGTGTGCCCCCCTGGGAAGGAGGGACACGGGTTTCCTTTTCCTTTCCTGCAGCACCTGCTGCTTCAGTCTCAGGGATGTCTGGGTGACTGGCTGAGCCCAGCGCAGCAGGAACCTCTGACTTCCTCTCCACTTGGTCACTGTCAGAGGCACTGCCCTTGGCAGAAAGGCTCAGGGCAGCAGCTGCCTGGGCAGCAGTTCCCTCAGTGCTCCCCAGATTCTCTTCCCACTGCGTGCTGGTGTTTGAGCTGACCTCTGTTTCCACATCCATGGAGTTCTCCTCCAGTGGCCTGCCCTCTCCATTGGGTGCAGTCTCTGCCAGCTCTGTAGCAGCTGCAGGCCCATAGCAGCTCTGTTTCTGTGGTGGTCCCTCCTCCCCGTTCTGAGCTTGCTCCATTTTTT